TTTTTTTTTTTTTTTTTTTAAATTGGCTTATATATGGAAAAATAGCACGGGCTAGCCAGTTTTCGGACTGGTCATTGAAAAATAGCCAGCATTTTCAAAGTTATTGAAAAATAGCCACTATTTTGCTGCAACACGGAAAGTTTCAAGGATAATATACTGGAGATCGGTGCACCTGTGTATGAACTTCCAGCATATTATGCTGGAACTCCGACACGCAGAAAGTTCCAGCATAATATACTGGAGATTGGAGCACCTGTGTATGAACTTTCAGCATATTATGCTGGACCGATATATTATACTGGAACTCCAGTATACTTATGCCGGAACTCCAGGATAATATACGGGAGTTCTAGTATAATATGTTAGAATTCCAGTATATTATGTTGGAGTATTTTTCGGATTTTGAACAATATTTTCGTTTAGATTTATCTTTACATGAAAAGTGACCAAATTTAGATTACTTTTGAAACTGTGACTATTTTTGAATGACCACTTGTAAATCTGGCTATTTTTGAATTTCTCCCCTAATATATTGATACGATTTTTAAGGGCTTGTACTAAATGTGAGTAGAGGATTTGGAAATCATTGTCCGAGCAGTAATGTTGTCTTGAATTTTTGTTTTTTGTTACTGCTTCAACAACCATCGCATGTTCTTTTTCAAATCTTTGAACATGTTCCGAACTCATGTTCAAAGTTCTTGTTGATCAAGTTCCACCACTCATTAACTGTTTCTGAGAAAGTGATCATTTCTTGAAATATTGGATTGAACAGTTTGGAGCTCATACAAGAGCATGCTATTTCCTGCAGAGCTTGTTGGTGATGTTCTATATTGTAGTAATTATTTTGGTGTTTTCTTGCTATTAATTTGAAAGAAACGAACAATTTAAGTCCAAGGACGTAATCTAGTGGTTAATGAAGTGGTGCAAACTTTGGAGATCAGGTTCATATTTCAATAAGGCATAAAATTTTTAGATGATTTTTTCCAATCTGCTTAAGCCTTGGTGTCAGAGTTAATCGGTATTTGTGCTCGGCAAGCATCTGGTGGAATAGTTGAGGTGTAAGCATCCTGCCCTAGAGGCTATCGTTATAGGAAAAAACTGAAAATTTTAGCTCGTTTTCTCTTATATTGGTAAGAAGATAATGTATAAATATATGACATCTTAGATATGTGTAAAAGCACGCAGAAACTACAACTACTGATGTCAACCGAAAAAAAACCTTTTTGTTTTTAGCATAATGAAGTATTTGGTAAAAGTTCAAGGGAGTGATATGATGAATTTCTATTCACTTGAGTGATTGCTGTGTCCGCGCTTCAGATAAGACTGTCTTAGGTATTATAATGCTAATTATTACGATGCAAATTACATGATGCCTTTGCTGTTAAGCATGTGAAATCTGGCATTATGGTATCTCTATTTCATATTTATCGAAACTTAGCCCTCAACACTATTTGCTTTCACCTCCTCGCCCCTCCCCCCAACCCCCCAAGAGTTTAAGAGAGAATGAAGTTCTATGTTTAATCAGGTTTTAATATATACAAAATATATGTCTTGTTAACTAAGAAAGCTATTGTAGAAAATAAGGCAACCACTACTATAGTCTCCTAAACATATATAACTTCCTAAAATAAACACGAAATATATTACACCATATTTACAACTATGTTATATCTATGAATACTCCCCCTCAAGTTGGAGCATGAAGATCGCGAATGGCCAACTTGCGAAGTAGGTACAAAAATTGTTGTTTCCCAAATGCTTTAGTAAATATGTCTGCTAGTTGTTCAGAAGTGCGCATATGAGATGCAACAACGTTACCAACTGTTATTTCATCACGTACGAAGTGACAATCAACCTCGATGTGCTTTGTACGCTCATGAAAAACTGAATTTGCAGATATATGTAGAGCAGCTTGACTATCACAATATTAAAGAACAAGATCCTTGTGAAAGACACCTAAGGATCGTAATATAGCCTTGAGCCATTTTAACTCACACACTATTGTCGCCATAGAACGATATTCCGCTTTGGCCGAGGAGCGAGAGACAGCATGTTGTTTCTTGGTTTTCCAAGAGATAGGTGAATTTTCCAGTAGACTAAAATAACCAGTTAAAGAACGCTGTGTCATCGGACAACTTGCATAATCAGAATCACAATATGCATGTAAGAGCAATTGCTATCAGCTCGTAAGAAAATTCTCAGTACATGCAATGCTTCCCCCCAATGTCTCTCTTTTGGACAATGCATGAACTGAGCTAATATATGAACTAAATAGCACAGCTCGGGACGAGAGATGGTCAAATAAATTAGTCAACCGACCAATCATCTATATTTTTCAGGTTCAGCAAATTCATTACCATTCTCCAATGCTAGCTTATGATTCTGCTCAATAGGAAAGCTAGCAGGTTTGGCTCCAAGAAGTCTAGTTTCACTCAAAATATCGACTGCATATTTTCTCTGACAAAGAAACAGATCATTTATACCTCTAGCCACTTTATCCCCAAAAAATATTTTAATGGCCCAAGATCTTTCATGTGAAAGCAACGATGCAAATATTGTTTGAAGTTAGCAATAACACCAGAATCGTCTCCGCCAATGATCAGATCGTCGACATAAACAAGAACATGTATAATGTTAAACCATTCTTTATACAAGAGAATAAAGAATAATTTGCAAATGATTGCACAAACCAAATGTCCTTAAGGCAGTAGCAAGTTTAGCATACCAATTTCTTGGAGCTTGTCGCAATCCATATAAGGATTTGCGAAGGCGACACACTTTTCCTTGAGTCGAGGTCTCAAATTCGGCTGGAAGTTGCATATAAACTTCTTCATCTAGATCCTCATGCAAGAATGCATTATGAACATTC